GCTCAATTTTTGGAATGCTAAGTTGAACATTTGAATATTTATGTTATATAAGTGTGTGAATTTTCACTATATGTTGGAGCTATATACGATATGTTATTTTGGTGTAATATTATATGTTATAACTCATATGTTAGATAAGATTTGATATAATTTATGAGGATAAGTACAATATAATGACTTTTTCCATATTTCCGGGTCAAACCGGGCTAAAGCGGTTGACCCATTAACCCTTAACCCACTAGCTCGACCGGGTCCGGGTCAACCCACGAGTTGACAACCTTGATTGGCAGACGACGGTCCAGTTTGGCTGCCATGGCCAGCTACTGGTCGCCGGACCATACTAATACACAGTACGACTGTGGCGGTGGTCCACCGGCTGCCGCCTCTGACTCGATCGGATCGCACCCTGAGTCCTGACCAACGCCAGGGCCCAATTTCATCTTGAGGCCCATCAGGCAAAAGAGAGAACAAATGGCTTACAATCTATATTCTATAGTGTTAGCTACTTAGCTTTGTGATAGACTCATAGTGATGGCAATACTTGGGCATAATAATTTATTAACTCGCTCCGCCGAGTATTATTCGTCCGGACTCAAGATGGGACGGGTATTACCCAATCCGTAGTAGCGTGGGGCGGGACATGGGTATCAACTTTCGTTCCACCTTGTCTCGCCCCGTCCCGTTCTTAGCCCATTCTAGGTCAATTTCTTACGCCATTCATTCATATATCTTTTATTTTGATTTTTCTTCAATTAGCTAGACTTGATTTTTCAACTAGATAGACCCAATTATCCCTTATATTATCACTATTATTCATTTATGAACTCTTTCCCCCTTCATTTTATCTAATAAGTAAAATTTTGCGTGTATTTTTTTTCAAATTGTATTTAAGAGTGGGTTGACTCAACCCGCCCCGTATCCGCAGGTGTATTTCCCGCCCGACCTATAGTAGCATGGGACAGGGCATGGGTATTGAGATACCCGCCGCGCCCCACTCTATCCATTGCCATCACTAAGGTGAGTATCCACAAATACCTATACTCAGCTCTACATCAAGAGCGAGTCGAATAATATCATTTTGGCTACGGGTCGTGACAGTTCAACCCATCATATCTTATTTGAAAGAAAATATTTATTTTTTTAACTATAAAACAAATGAAAATAGTTCATAAATAAAAATAGAGATACATAGATAATAGATTGATCACCTTAGTCAATTAGTTGAAAGATGAATTCTTACACTAATTTAGGATGAAACTATGAGTTAAAAAGTTAAAACAAGAGAAATAGAGAGAGACTTTGAGACTAAGGGGTCGTTTGAAAGTTGCGATAGTTTTGTAGAGATTGTCATTATGCATGTATTGTTTACAATGCATCGTTTTTTTTTGTTTTTTTAGCAGAAACAATACATGGATTGTTTCTGTGATGTGACAGAAACTATCACTCATTTTGAGTGATTGTTATATCTCAACTTTTAGTTGTGATTGTTGAGATTGTTGAGTTGAGATTGTTTTGTCTCAGCTTTTAGCTGATGCGACATACACAATCCCACATACCAAATGTTGTATTCTACAATGCATCAAATTCAACAATACATGTATAATATTATACATGCATTCTCAACAATACATCTATTTAACAATCGCAACTTCCAAACGACCCCTAAAGAAGATAGAACAGGGCGCACAAAGCAAAAGTAGTACCATACTCCACCACGCGCTATTGCAGATAAGGTATTACACGCCCCAACGCGAAACGAGCTCAAATTGCCATCACTTGTTTGTGCGCCTCAACACTACCAGAATGCCATGTTGGAGGTTCTGAACTGAAGGCGGAGTCCTTTTCCTCTGCGGATTAGGATTGTTTGAAGACACGGATCGCCTTAGTTGATGCGGTGCCGTTTCCAGGAAAGTGTCTGTTTAATAAAGGCCAAATCGTGTCTTTGACTAAGTGTTCATTTGGTCCCTATTGTTTTAAGTTTGGTCAGTCGAGTCTAGATAGGTTGTTTGTCTGTTGAGAGATTCTTGTGATCATGTAGGTAATGCAAGCTGATTAGTAGGGCTTGCTGTTAGTAGTTGGAAGCATTGAGGCCGAACTTTGTGGCTCGAATGCTGAGTATTTAACCTTTGTTTTATCATCGTCAATAAATGTCAGTTTGCAATATACTAGTGTTCTTCATGCCAGTGAATGTGTATCAATGAAAACACCCATCAGTAATCCCTACAAAAAAAGAACGGCTTAATTGCAAGTTTGGTCACTCGAATTGCTTAAAAATTTCACGTTTGCCACCCGAATTGATATATTCCATTTATAGTCACTCGAATTAGTTGAACAGTCCAAGTACGGTCACTCTCCGTTAACCTCCGTTAACCTCTGTTAATGACGACCGTTAAGTGATGACGTGGCTAACAGAAAGACACAGTCAGCACATTTAAACATTAAAAAAAGACAACCCGACCCGCCAGCTCACCCTTACACGCCCAATCAGCCATTCTTGCCCAAACCCGCGAACCAGACCCAATTAACAGACCCTAAACCCAAACCAGTGACCCAACCCCCCGAAAACTAAACGCAGATGGATTAGGGCATTTCCCTTCTCCATCTTCATCCTCTCATCCTCCCTCCCGCAGATAGTGATTGACGAGTTCTTCGTCAGTAGGCCGGAATCGAAACCCCAGCGGCAGCGACTGCGACTGCATCGACATCACCGCCATTTTCATTTCTTCTCCCTCCAGTCTAAGACCACCGGGGCTATTATCTTCGGCCAGAAGTCGTAAGAGTAGAAATCTTTGCAGGCACGGATCTCTGCCAGCCAAGAGAGCAGGTGAAGTGAATTGAATTGGAAGTGCGAGAGCTTGAATTGAGTTAGGTTTTGGGGTGGGATGAGGATGGAAATTGGGAAATTGGGAAAGGGAAAAAGCGAAACCGGAGCCACTGAGGGGGAAAGCAAAAGAGAAGAGAAGGGATGGAGGAATGGCTGTCAAATGTCAATTGTCAATTGTCAAACTCTATGGCTAGGCAGCGGCCAAGCACACGAAGAACTCGTCAATCACTATCTGCGGGAGGATGAGAGGACGAAGATGGAGAAGGGAAATGCCCTAATCCATCTGCGTTTAGTTTTCAGGGGGGTTGGGTCACTGGTTTGGGTTTAGGGTCAGTTAATTGGGTCTGGTTTGCGGGTTTGGGCAAGAATGGCTGACTGGGCGGGTAAGGGTGAGCTGGCGGGTCGGGTTGTCTTTTTTTAATGTTTAAATGTGCTGACTGTGTCTTTCTGTTAGCCACGTCATCACTTAACGGTCGTCATTAACGGAGGTTAACGGAGGTTAACGGAGAGTGACCGTACTTGGACTGTTCAACTAATTCGAGTGACTATAAATGGAATAAATCAATTCGGGTGGCAAACGTGAAATTTTTTAGCAATTCGAGTGACCAAACTTGCAATTAAGCCAAAAAAGAACTCTCAAGGCCTCCAAATCTGGTGTTTGGTTGCAGACAAGCAGAGGATGGAACTAGACAGGAGACTCTCAAAGTGCAACACACATCACGAACAGGACTCTCAGTGAACATTGAGCTACTCATTCATATGCTTTCAAGGTACAAAGAACAATGTAATAAGCATCGTTTAAGAAGCTACATAGAAAATGCCTAGAATCATGAACACAGGGTGGTCACAATCTTCAGACACCGCAGGGCTTGCTTTCTTGCTTCATCCAATGGAAAACAAAGGTCCTGTGAGTTGTGCATGTCACTAACTACACAGACCAACATCACCTTATGCTCTAGTTCAACAACAGGACAGCAAATAACAGCATAGGTTCAATCCACAAATAGCACACCTGATCGCACTCGTTGATGCCAGTTGAGAAGAGGGGGGATTTTATTTTGTTAAATTATTAGGACCAAACAAGGAAAAAGAGTAACATTCATCCCTACTACTCGAGTCCAACCTATAGCTACAGGCACATTAAGGAACTGACTTTACAAAGCATTCTTCAGACTGAAGACGAAATGAAAGAATCCCGGTACATTGAACAAAAAGATGGAGCCTAAAACTCATCCGGGGAAAGACAGAAAAGAAAAAAACTAGCTGACGGAAAAGATTGAAATAACAAAACCCAAAATATGCAACCTGTGATAGCTGATTTGCTGAAGCTGCCTTCTGCTCAACAAACAGAGACGTTTGCAGGCAGGCAGGCACAACAAGCGTGCATTGCTATCAGAAACAGCACCTGCTGGATATCTCTTCAAGAAACTCTTGCTGGATTCGCTCCTGGGAGATCAAAAGCACCGGAATAAGCCACTAAACAAGATGAAATAAGCAGAAGAAGTTTATCAATGTCCATTTTAGTTAATCCATCATATTTCTTCTCTAGAAACAAGGAAAATGCAGCAAAAGAGACCAATGACCAATGGTTGTTCGTCTATATCCTTAAAAGCCAATGCACAGTTTGTAACCCCATCTCAATGAAGTTCATAGCACACTAACCACTTGCCACGTAGGGTGCTTTCTTAAGCAACATAGATTAATAAGGAAGGAACCCAGTCAGCTTCAGAACAGGCAGTTTTCAAACTCAGATTTCAAGGCCGTAAAGCGACTACAACTAACACTAACAAAGAGGAAACGAATTTGCCATGAGATTTCCAGGAACCATTGAGATAGAAGAAGAATAAAAAGGATTGGCTAGGAAGGAAGCACACATTGTACTCAACTAACATCATCTTAGAATTTATACCAGTCACAGAAACTCTGTTAACAACTCTCTCATATAATCACGACAGTAGCAAAAGTTATGGTACCAACTACCACCTAAAACAAAAGAGTATACTAAGGCATGCCTAGAAACCACGGATATGGCAATGTTTAGGAAAAGAGGCAGACATAGATGGATGGCATAAGCAATCACTACCACGGCAAGTTGGGACATATTAGAAAATGTGCTAGAGAAACGTTTGGTGGAAGCAAGAATGTTCTCGACAGTACTCATACTACTTAGCACTTTTCAAGCACCTGAACGTATGGTACACGGAATAACAATGCCTAAACTACATGAATGCACCAACAAAGGTAGACTGTAAATTGAGTCCATCTTGCAATATGATTGACATACATTAATCTTGGCACCCAAGAAAAACCGAGAACTGCCAACCAATGTTAAATACCTTTTCTCTTGCTTGAGCCAGGCAAACTTCCATTTGCAGCAACGGCATTCCCGACACCACAGACCGAAAAATCGTTGAAGCCAGAGTTCTGATTCACCATGCACTGAAGATTCTCAAAGTCACAACCAGTGTAGACTTGCCCATTTACAGCCACACCTTCTGCTAATCTTTTCCCATCATCCATCCCAGGATGCAAGCAATACGCTTGATCATTACATACCATGTTACAAGGGTTCACCACATAAGCACCCTGCCCACTTGGATTGGTTAAATTCAAGTTAGCAGTAGCAGCAGGTTTCTGATAGGGAAAAGACCCGATCTCCCCCTCGATCCTTCCTCGAATATCAACAAGCAAACACTTAAGCCTGGCAATCTCTGCCTCCAACGCAGCCTGCCCTTGTACCCTCTTCATCAGCTGCTGGTTCAAAGCCCTCAATTTCACAACTTCATCCTCCAAAGACGCAGCCCTCGCCTTCTTCTTCTCTCTATACTTCCTCACTGCCTCCCTGTTGCCCAAAGGCCGCTTCTTTGACTTCTTATCCACGGATTCAGCAGTGTCATCGCTGCCATGCTTATCATCTGACGAACCCGAGACGATTTTGGTATGCACATGGAAGCAAGTATGAGTGTGGGAGTAATCGGGACCAGGTGGGTTGCAGGTGTGCGTGTGAGTACACGCATGGCTATCTCTGAGCAGCTCGTCGAAGAAACTGTCCATCGAGCCGCTGGTCGGAATCTCCGGCATGTTTGTGCTGGAGAACACTTCCTGCTGCGAGAAATCAACCTCGCCGTCGTCCATGGCGGAAGATTCAAAGCTCAACGAGACAGCTTCGATAGCCTAACCCAGATTGCAAAAATTCAAATGATCTAGCAAAACCCTAAAGCTGAACGCGGATAAACCAGACCGATGTTTCCGAACAATTGGATGAGAACCCAGATGCGGGATTTGCATGAGAACAACCGGGATTGCCTACGGAGCCGCCGATTGCGATAAAAATGCCGAATTTTGCGAGGATTCGTCGGTGAATACGAGGGTTTTACAGGGGATGAAACGGAGATGAGAAAATACCGGAGAGCAGATGATTCAAATCGATATCAGAGGAGATAAATGAAACCCTGGAGATTCAAGGATGAAATTTTCCCGCAAAAGAGAAGAGAGAGACTACTGGGAACATGCGAAATTGGGTAGAGAAAGAACAAGCGAAACTGGACCAGAGACCATTTTCATTTTTGTTTCGGTGGCCACCGTAGCTCTTGAAGATTCGTAGAGACAGCGGCGGACGTGGAAAAGAGAAAAGGTTAGATTAGTCCTTCGTTGTCAATTTATAGGTACTCGTCACTAGCAAATCTAAAAAAATAATGGAGATGTATATTAAATTAATTATAATTGTTCATCTAATCAATAAAAAGTAGGATTAGGAGTGCAAATGATTTGGTTCGCAACGGATTAAAACTAGATCAGGGAACGGATCAGGTCAGTAACCTTATGATGAGTAACTATGAGTAACTCGTCCACATGAGCATGACATCAGCATCCTCTCTTTCTTGGAAAGCCTTTAATTTTCCCCTTCTTAATCTTTGACGGACGATTTCTCACTCGTTTTAAGTCGAAATTTAATTTTTTTTGCACAGTTAGATCAAATTAATTGTGCTCTTCAAAATGATATCCACTTTGATATATTTTTCGAACAAAAAAAATTGAGTCATTTTATACCAGTCTATACCATATGGTATTGACTGGTATTGAAATAAGAGCATACATATGGTTTGAAAAGCGTACCATGGTGGTATGACACAAACCAAAACTGTAGGATGGTTGAATACGACTTTTAACATTGTATACCATAAGATACCATAAGATACCACCCCGTACCAGGGTGGTATTGTATGGTATTGTGTGGTATTTTTTTGTCTTGTAATTTGTTCACCCAGAAATTTGTAGATTCAATAGATCATGATGAACTCGTCCCCGCTGTGCAAACGTTTTTAAAAACGAATTAAAAACGAAGAAGATACCATATGGTATGCAGTTGGTACCGAGAGGCCATAATTTTTTTTCCTAAAAAAATATTGAAAATTGATCTCATTTTTTAGAGCACGATGAACTCGTTCCATCTGTGCAAAAAAAATTAAAATCCGAGTTAAAACGAAAAAGATATGAGTCAATTAAGAAAACTAGTGAAAATAAAAATGACCTTTAATTTTCCATCCTTAGATCTAGATTTTCTAAATGAAGGGTCCAAATTTGGTTATTGATGGGTGCATAACCCATGGTTATGCACCCTAACTTGAGCCACTAGATCAAACCAACATTTTGAAATTGAATATAACATGGTTCATTTCTTTGTTATCATATATTTTTTTTAATACAAGAAAAATAGATCGAACCAATACTTGATATTGTGAACGGTACCAAATCAAATTAACTAGTCGAGTTGTCATCCTCAAATTTCTTTCATCGTTGGACTATAATTATCACGATTTGTTCTTATTTAAGTTTAATTTAACCAACGTTTTACTTTGAAAATTAAGGCTTTCATTGTGACCAAGGGCTAGTTTGGTCCTGCTATAATTTTTGCAGAAGCAGCTTCTGACTATAATTGTTAGATAAATACTTTTCAAAAAAAAAAAAAATTGAGTGTTTGGCTTGAAAATTATTAGAAGTATTTTTTAATATGAGAGGTTGTGTAAAATGACTATAAAGAACTTATATTATAAATTATGAATACAAATTCTAAACAATAAAAAGTAGTTAAAATGGACCTTGTTAGATTTCTTTTATATTAAATAATATTATTTTTTTAAATGATATAAATGAAAAAATGAAATATAATTAAAATATAATAAGGATAATCTTGTATATTCTAAACAGTTTTTGGCAGAAGCTACAAATCGGAGCTTCTACTTTTATGTTATACAAAATCGCTTTTCGACTTTTCAAAAATCAAACTTTTAAAGGCATTCTGCCTACTTCAACTTAAAAAAAAAACACTTATAAAAACGGAACTAAACATAAGCCAAGTTTCCTAATGATAAGACCTGTAAAAGATAGCTTGATTGATGGGTTCTCTCAACTACCACGAATATATTATATATTGAAGCAGATGAAAGCTTTTTAATTGCAGAATTGAAAAATGAACCACACAAGTCACGACTCATAGCTACATTGTTTAAGATAATGAGAAAGACATGAGATTTGACCCACTTCCTACTACCTTTCAATCTACGTAAATCTATTGATATAAGTAAAATTTTAACATTTTATTTATGAAGGCAAATTAACCGAGTCGAGTTTTGACATAGTTTGAGCTTAGATCGTTAATAAAATAGTTGAACTCAAACTCAGATTGTTTACGAAAATCTTGTCAGGTTGTTTGACTCATATCCGACTCGAGTTCAGCTTATTCATGAGCTAATGAGGTCCTACTTACGCTCTGCTGATTAATTAGTTTGCAAGTTCGACTCGAAGTGAGGGATTATATTAATTAGTTTGTAACTTTTAATCCCTAAAAAAAGTTTGTAATTTTTAATGGTCTATTAGTTATTTAATAGTGATTAGTATATAAACAATTTATAATATATATATATAATTTCTTTTTTAGATTATAAATGAGATATGGGTTTTCAATTTCTTAATATCATATGTGGCAAGGTATATAATTACAATATTTAGGGTTAATACTTTATTTGGTCTCAACTATGACCATATAATAAACTTTGCCCCGTGGTTTTAAAAATTAACATCATGGCCTCAACTATGCAACATGTAGACTTAATTGGTCCGACACTTGGTTTGACAGTCAACGGTCCAACACCGTTGACCGTTAGTCAACACTCCATGTCATTGTCTCGTAATCCTAAAAATCATTAAAAAAATTCAAATTCTAATTATTTTTCTAATTTCTATTATTTATCATTATCAAATTAACCAAAAAATAAATTTTATTTTTTGGGTAATTTGAAAATGATAAATTTTATAAATCAACCAAAAATTATCAAATTTATTTGTTGGTTAATTTGAAAATGATACATAATAAAAATTAGAAAAATAATTTGAATTTGAATTTTTGGATTTTTAGGCTGACATGGCGTGTTGACTAACGGTCAAACCATGGGTCGGCCCAATTGAGATTATATGCTGCATAGTTGAGGCAGGATGTTAATTTATGAAATCACAGGCAAAAATTGATTATATGGTCATAGTTCGGGCCAGAATAAGGTATTAACCCTACAATGAACCTATAAACTATCAACAAGTCAATGATAAGATATCAGTCGATTCACTCATAAGTTGTTGGCTAAGGTGGCACAGTAACCATACGGTCGAACCAACTCATAGCTAAAAACAAGCAAGCTCACGAGTTAAGTTCAACAAGCCACCGAGTCGAGATGGCTCACGAGTCTTATGAGCCAAACAAATCTAAACTCAAACTCGACTCATCAGGAAATGTACCACGAATCAAGTGAGCTTTTGCCGAGTCAAATGTCGAATCGCCCGTGAACTAGTTGGTTCATTTGCCGCCCTAATTTTATTGTCTATTTGTAATTTCAGCCCAGCTATCCCAACAACAAAAGAAAATAAAAGCCCAAGTTATCTACTTTTAAGCCCATGGACCGATTCTTTTCCGCCTGTAACCACAATTTACCGGTCCTCCCTTGGGATTTTCTAGATTCCTTGCAGGTGACGGAAAAGGTCGTCCTAAACCTCGTCGGAAAAGGTCAACAGTCAGTCAACCGACGAAGCCTTATTTGTATCAGTATCGTCTCCAACCCTAATTGCAACAAAATCGGCAGACAGTCTCCACTCTGGAGTTGCCGGCCTTTCCTATCCACGCGGAAACTTCGATCATGGCCACCGACGATGAAATTGGGAGCAACGCTTCTTCCGATCTAGGGTTTCTGCGAGTGAGACCAGGCTGAGAGAAAACAAGGGGATTACTCCACCGCCACCGTCGCCGTTAGAATGAGGATCACGGGAACAGCACCAGGGGTCCGATTCGAGCCCGAGGACGACCAAATCATCTCTTATCTCCTCGATAAGGTAACGGGCAAGGATTTGCCCCAAAATCCGGTGATCGATTGCGACCTGAACGGCGAAGATGAAGCTTGGAAGGAGCTGTTCGTTGAAACCGGGGAATCTGAATTGTATTTCTTCACCAGATTGAGGAGGGTAAAGACGAATAAGGGGGAAATAGGCTGCGGCGGCGGCGGTGGAGGTAGGGCTGAGAGGACGATTGGCTCCAAGGCCACGTGGCGGTCGAGCAAGGACGACCCCATTTTTCTCCCCGGCGGGAGCGTCCAGATCGGGTCGAAGCGGGCTTTTACTTACCGTCCCAACCAGAGTTCTGCGGCGGCGAGGAAGAAGGAAACCGGAGATGGGTTCTCGATGACAGAGTACCGCCTCGACGGCGTCTTCGACAGCGTCGCCACGGATCTTGTTATGTGCTCGGTGAGAAGGAAAGAAGGCAGAGCATCATCCTCTGAGATCGAGATCAACGATGCTGCTGTGCCGATGGCGTGGTGTTTGCGGCCTTGCAGATCGATTATGGCTCAGCCGATGATGGGAGGAAGGGTGTTTTCGTGTTAGTGATGGTACGAGCTTTGCCTGCTGCTATTGATGATATCTCTCAGTATCAGTTGGAACAGAAGGCAGAGGGAGAGGCATTCATGGCTATACCGGATTAACCATTATCACAGTGGAATGCAAGTTAGTTTATCTTATTAATGTCGCTCCCAATTCTTACCCTTTTGTTAATTGTTATTCAGATTTCTGGGTTCAATTTGTTTGATGTCATATCGTAATCAAACAATTTCATTTATGTAACATTTGGTTCATAATAAAAAACTGCAGCAGATTTTGCAATAGAATTGTCTGCAAATTCTTAGCCTCTTCAACTCATTTATCTAACACTTCTTGATTATGAATCTATGATTATCATCATCAGTAGTTCATTATTGTAGATTTAGAAAACAAGGTGTGGGGAAATGGTAAGCCAAAATCATATAGAAATTCCATCATCCCATGGCATATTTTTGGGTCCAGCTGCGAGCAGTGGCTTCATACTTGATCTTGTCCGTCTTGCACATATGGGCTATTTCAGGGACCAATGGGTCATCTGGATTTGGATCGGTTAGCAGCGAGCAGACCGACAACAAAACCTGGTTCAACCCAACATTAGCTAATCACCAACCAGAATCAAGTTCTAGCAAGGCTTGTTACATGTTTCAGTTTAATCACAGGCTTCAAGTTGGAAGAAAAACTTTACCTTGGAGATGGTAAGTG